AAGATCGACAGCCAAAGCGACAGGAATTTGGAGGAGGAGGAAAGCTAGCAGTGTCCAAACGTAGATTGGCGTCCGTCCGATCGCAGGTGCCTCGCTGAGGGGTGCTAAGGTCATCGGTCCTGATCGCACTGTTAGTATGGGTGCGGATGGTATTGCCGACTCCTGGTATAAGACGGATCAATGATGGCATTACCAAGTCCAAATCCTAGCACAAAGACGGTCAGGGGAAGTGTTGCAGGTATCTCGCCAATCCCAAAGTCCTTCATAACGTCCACAACGCCAGCAGTGTACACCGACGATCCCACATAGACCGCAAACGTCAAGTAGCACAGCTCAAAGGTGATTGCGCATTTGGTGAAGGGTGACCAATTGAGAGGGTTCTGTAAACGGACAACAAGTCAGTGCTCAGTGGTATATTGCGCTTTGTCGTCTGGATATCTCACCTCTGGGTCGTCAGGCCCATACCACCCAACAATATTCGGGTCTCGTCCTTTCTCAGATAGCTCTCCATCGCCTGGACCAAGAGTGCTCGCATCCGAAGCGGGTCTTTCAGGCGACGTCTCTCTTGCCACGGCAGGCGGGTTATGTGAGAACTGTTCTAGGAGAGCAGGGTGTTTTGTCTCCCCATGCGGTAGCAATCTTCCCTTGGATACATACCGTAGCAAGCGACCAAAGAGGGAGTCGTGGATAAGCTGTGACATGGTTACTTGATTCGTCCCAGATGTGATCAAAATTGCTGAATAGAGCATCTCGAACACTTCTCAGTCAGGGATGACATTGGCATATTTATTCTGATCATCGGAGCTTGTGTCGTCGTCATCACCTGAAATTGCCGTTTGGCCTTGCATGTTCTCGTACCACCCACACCTCTACCGATCTTCGACAATCGAGATGTCAATACACATTGCGATGAATATGGGGGTCAACACCCAACACTGTTCCTGACAGATGTTGCCGTTATGATGTCATGCCGCAGCATGTGGTAGGTTCATCACTGGTTGGTCTTTGCATTGGACCATGCTGTCGACCAGCCTCGTTCTTTCGGTCGCCGAAAGCGGTAAATGAAGATCCTGGAGGGAACAGGTAGGTGTGAAATATACCCAACATCTGCCTGAGCCAGGCTATTCCTGGTTCAAGTCTCGGCTACCGTGGAGAGATGCCTGGCTATGGTTTGACATGGAGTGTGGAAGGACAGTTGTAACTGTTGGTGGTGGTGATGGTGGTCAAGGTTGGTGTGGCCGGCAAGGCTGACGATGACCATTTACTGACGTCATTCAGCCTTGTGTTTCAGCCTCGTCTTTTCCAGAGATTGCATTGGTTCACATCAATCTGCCCATATTCAGCATCAGACTTCCACTTGTAGATAAACCATCATGAATGTCTGTACCCGCTAGGGACCAACTGCCCAAACTCACAATGCCAACCCCTACAAGAACGAGATGTCCGGTCACACGGGACCCCAAGCCGCCGCTTACCGCATTACATGCACCTGCGATAGGTGGGCATCAATGGCCCCCGGACCCCGTGTCAGCACCATTCTTCTTTCGCTCTCACTGGCCGCATCTTGACAAGACAGCCACTTCCCAAGAAGTTCAGCCGCACCGAGTCTAACATATCAGGTTGAACCTAGCCCTTCGCTGGATGTTAATATTAGATTTCTTAGTCAGCCCAATATCGATCCCGACGACATGGTACCTGGGTCGCCTGAATGCTCACTTGCGGACCGAGGACACACATTCCGATGTTGTGACGGGTTGTAACTCCTTGGGAAAAACCTCCTATCACAGACCACCGATTCCCCTTTCTCGCGTGCCATCTTTCCTTTTATCTGCGCGCAAGATTTTGTTGGTCCTTGTCCTGACTAACCTGGCTGTTGGATTGTTGGATCGAGGCAAGCCCGTCTAACCCTTGCATACCCTTACTTGCTTACCTGCACACCGGCACATCTGCACGCCCGTGGTCGACCGAAAACACCCCCCCTTCACAAGCCAAAGACCCTCGCACGACATGTCCAAGATCAACCGCATCAACCCGAACGTAAAGCGCGCACAGACCGAAGAATGGTTCCCCAAATCCCCCGACGGTGCATACACGGGCGAGAAAGTCCCCTTCCACCCTCGTCGGCGGCCGTTTTTGTCATCGACCACCCTCGTCCTGTTGGTGTTGCTGGTGCTCGCGGTCGGGGTGCTTGTTTGGAAACATGAGCAGGCCGTGGCCGTCGCGGCCGAGAATTACCAGAAATACACGGGCCAGGATTTGAAAGAGACGGAGTTTTACAAGGTCATAGAGAAGGCGCAGAACATGAAGTGGAAGCGGTCAGAGTTGTGACAGCTAGATGGCCTTTGGAAGTACGTCAGTGTTGGGGGCTGTTAGGACGGGCGGGTTGAGACGGATAGACATCCAGTCTGCACTGGGGGGTTATGGGAAACTCATCGGCCAGGCTCCCTTGTATGGATATACATTGTGCCTTGAAGGTAATGCCTTGATAACTGGCTTTTTTCTCCGCCATCAGCCATACCACTATTTCTGGGGGGGG